CACCTGGCCATGCCGGGCTACCGAATAATACACTTAGTGTAATACCACAATATATTTCACGTACCTAGATAATTTAGGCTAATAAATAGCAAGTTAAAAGAATTAAAAACATCACAAATAATGTGAGCTCCATTCATGTTGATCGCATTCGTGTAAAAACATTATTAAAATTTTTCAAATTCATTGAGAAAAACGGTTTATTGAATTCTTTTGTAATAGTATCAGTTTGAAGCTACAACTTTAGAAGAAAAAAAAAACACACCAAAAACACTAGGTTATATTTTCAAACCTCCATTTCATTATGGCGTTAATCATTATTATTAGGAGCATTTTTGTCAAAATGAGTTTAATATTGCATGCGTGAAATTGTTCAATGAAAATTCACATCCTGCAATTCTGTTTTTAAGCTTGTAGTTATATTTTTCATTATTAGAGCAATGCTTCTTTAATAAAATAACTTTTACTGTTGGATGTTTAAATTTTGGAAAACTTCGCAAAGCTTCTTTTTTCATATAATTCACGGGCAAATCTTAGTTTGTTATATCGACACTGTAATTTCATATTAAGGAACTTGCTGGCCAGAGATCTAATGAAAGTCTAATATAAGTAGGCAAACTGTGATATGTTTTGTTCCAATTATTTCTTTGAACTTCAAGCAAATCCCAGTAATTAGACATGGATAGTGTGATAAAGCGAAAAGCAAACTTTGACATTATTATACAATAGGTATAATGATAATGCGATGTTGTGGAAATTGTGAATTAAAGTTATAAAGGCATTTAGAAAAACAATATTGCTTTAAGGTGTTTTAAGTTATGTTCAAATTGTGAATTAAAGTCGTAAAGGAGCAATATTGTGTTTCTAAGTGCTAAGGTATTTTACGTTATGATTACTTGAACCAACTTTGGGAAACGCAAACAATAAACTATTATTATTCTGATGGAAAACGGGACGACATTAACACCGGAACACGGAGCTTGATGAAAGGTAAGGAACTTTTTCTAACTGTGTTTGTCAACATGCGTCTATAATGCGGTGTACAAGCTTTGTTGGAACGACTGACGGATTAAGTCTTCAACATAGTCTTGTTGTGAGTATTGACATAAAGCAAATCGAACTCAAGTACAAAGCAGTATTTACGTAGATATTTTATTGTCGCTTAAGATAAGCACCTTTCTCGGAAGTAAATCCATTTCCCATTAAACATTAATGGAAATCTGTTGTGGTTTGATTTAACTGGTTAATTTAAATGGCAGAATAAGTCCTATTTTATGGAGACTTGCAGTTATCTACTTGCAATTACTCTTAACATATTGCATTAAGTTGAAATGCTAAATTAAAGTTGTTTAATAATTTTACGAATGCTACATTTCTTGTGAAGTATATTTCACATTTGACTCGAACAATAGAAATGCGCTTTACAATTTCAGGCAGAAAAACTGAACTCTGTAGAGCTCGCTCAGAGAAACATATAGACAAGCACCATATTGAAATTCGAAAACTAATATAATAATAAGGGTGCTTAGAACCTTTAAAAGCTATTCGTGATGGTTTACATTTTGGATTTTGTTTGCCTTTCCTTCTGTAATGTATCGTAATAAAATAAAAGATAAATCATTTAATGACAAAGAAAAACTTTTTAATTGGAACTTTCCGAGAGCTTGTTTAAATTTGTTTTCTTATATACAAGTATTTATATATATTGCCATATATATCTTTTTTACTTACTGATCTAACGACTTTGTTTGGTGTTCATCAACTTTGGTTTTAGAGCTATATGATCCATAATTACGTTACTCCACTTCCTTATCTTTTTACTTACTGATCTAACGACTTTGTTTGGTTCTAGAGCTATATGAGCCATAATTACGTTACCTCCACTTCCTTATCTTTTTACTTACTGATCTAACGACTTTGTTTGGTGTGCATCAACTTT